TGACGGTTTGTATCCATGTGTGTCCTACCCCCCCCCCCTTCATTCAGTTAAACTAATTTAAATCTATACAGTCCACAATTAATTAGTAGCACCGTACTTGTGGGTGCTACCCAATCCATACTGGTCTCGGATAGATATGGATAAGATTGTGAGGTCGAGGGGACCACTTGGTGCGACCAGGGGTGGTTAAGTTTTCTCACATGTCTACACGGGGTGACTAGGGTTAAACAATATGATTGTCTCCCAATGAGATTACTGGTATGTATATAATGTTGGGTACATACAGGTAAGCACCCTAGAAAATTTTCCATATCTGCCCGTTGGCCTTCGAAAACGGATGCAATCAGTGAAAAAATTAATTAAATTTAAAATTATTAATAATTAAGTGACTGATTGAAGGAAGTGGGTGTGGGGTGCACAAGTTTAATCGATCGTGTGATGGATGACATTAGCCCAATTAATTGCTGCACATGTGTGGCTGGGATTTATACAAGAGTAAAGTGCAAGAATTATCTTATAAGGCGCCTACTTAAGTTGTATAATCAGTGATTAATAATTCTCAAACCCATGAATGGATCTAATGGAGTTAATGTGGCTGACAAGTCCGTGAATTTTAGAGTAATGAAAGCATCACTACAGGCTATTAAAAGCCATGTGACGAAGGCATTTGATTTAGTGAATCAAAGAACCGTGAACCCTAATGAATTAAAGTTATATTTAGATGCTTTAGAGAGTAGTTTGTTTGGGTACAAATTGTGGTTTTTAAAAGACTGTGAAAGAGATCTGCTAGAGAATTGTGCAGATGGAATGGAAATGAATGTTTTAATTAATCAACATTACGAATTGGAAGAAAAACTGTCTTGTAAAAGTAAGGCTTTGAATAAATTAAAGGTGTAAGCCATGGCAGTTGATCAACCTATTAATGCAAAGGGTTTTGTGTTTTGCCAAAACCTCCGTAGTACGGTCTGGGGGAAAATCAGACTAGGTCGGCGGGAAATTAATTGTTCAATTGCAGACCGTCAGCCAAACAGTTCTAAGGATATAACACATAATGACTCTGAAGTATCTGTAAGCCCAAAAGGGAAAAAAATAATCCAGTGGTAATAATCATAGTTAAGATTTAAAATAGGCACATATCAAGTCAGGAATCAGTAATGTGGTTCCTCACATCAAGGGTAAGAGGAATAAGTACCTCAGTAAGTGAAACCCAGTAATAAGAGGTCAGGCAAGGAAAAGAGAGACTGCCTCTTCTGCCAGGGTACTCATTTCACTAAAAATTGTAATGCCTGTAATTCATGGGATTTTAAAGTGGAAAGAATGAAAGAACTTGACAGATTTATCAGATGTCTAGACAATCATAAGGGTAAAGGATTGTCATACCAAATTGAACAGTTGCTATCAATGCAACAAGGGAAAGCACCATACAGTTATGTGCAGGTTTTGTATGTGATTCTTATAATAATGGTGAAAATAATGATAATGTTAATAACCTGACACTACAGTGACGATGTAAAGGTTGCAGCTAATGGCAATAATGAGGGCCTAGCTGAGGTAGCTTGACGGTTGTGGATTGTAAAAATTCAGGATAAAGGGCATAAATCCAAAACCATACGGCGTCACTCTCCTCAACACTGGTACGGGCCATGTAATATATGGCAGACTACCGCCTAGTAATAATGACAGAGGAAGTAGTGAATACGGTTTACGGTGTCTTACTCATGAAAGGTCAACCCAGTACAAGTATTTTTCTATCGAGAATGATGTTGAAAACCCGTCTAATTTGTGGGAGCTGGACAGCATAGGGATTAATGTAAATGAGGGAAAGTCCAATGATTCCTTTATCAGGAACAATACCTGAAGGTGTTAAAAGTGATCTGGACATTACTGGGTGCGACTTCGGGAAGCTTGACGTCCAGAATTACCTACTAATTATAGGATTGGCGTATGGACAGTTAAAGGGCCCAGCTCTGCGAACTGACAAGACACAAAATTGTTGATGTTATAATGATAATTATTACATTATAATAAATTGTTCTTACTTCAGGCGGAACGATAATGCACACCTTAAATGCACAGGCGGGGCACTGAGGAGTAATGGGTAAATAATCTTATGTGGACAATTTTTCCGGTGGACCCTCAACTGAAGGGGAACTAATGAGGAATGTGAAGGGGTTATGAAATAATGAAGGGAATGTGCTGGGACTGACTTGGGATACTGGGAGACTTGTTATTGTTAAAGTCTCAAAATTCCGTATGCCCAAAAAATTAATCCAAGGGCATAGGCTTAGCCCCTGAGAGAATGGAACACTAATTAGTCCATTTTGAGGGATCAATTAATACAGATGGCCATGGAGTTGGTTTTTCCCATATGCAGTAATGTGCTGGGCTGACTTGGGATACTGAAGAAAAGGGCTTGTTATTTTTAAAGTCTCAAAATTCCAGTATGCCCAATAAATTAATCCAGGGAGCATAGGCTTATGCCCCCGAGAGAATGGAACACTAATTAGTCCATTTGAGGGTTCAATAAATATGGATGGCCATGGAGTTGGTGCCTATATGCAGTAAAGTGCTGGGGCTGACTTGGGATACTGAGAGACTTGTTATTGGTAAAGTCTCAAAATTCCAGTATGCCCAATAACTTAATCCAGGGAGCATAGGCTTATGCCCCTGAGAGAATGGAACACCAATTAGTCCATTTTGAGAGTTCAATAAATATGGGTGGCCAGTGAAGGGTGGGAAAATGTATCCACATTATGTAAGTCGTCTAGCAAAGACCCCCCCCCGCCCCCAGTGTGGAAAATTTTTTGATTTTCCGAAACTATAGTGCCCAATAGGTGTTTAATGTGTCTATATGGTTCAAAATGTATTTGAAAATAAGAGTTTGAACCAAGAGTTCCTTTGCGCATGCGCGGATGTGCGGGGGGGGGGGCGCGTATTGTTTTGAATGGTGGTGAGGAAGCTGAGAAAACATGGAAAACCCCGAAAATTGACGTTCACGGTGGCCTAAGGATTAATATGGCCTCATTTCATAATAAGAAGTGTCGTAATTGTTCCTGGTGGAGGTGAGGGAACGGGATTTACGGGACCACAGTATTTTGAGTGGTAAAAGTGTGATAAGAGAAGGAGCGGGTGACTGACGCGCCACAATGGACTGTGTCCTGGGGAAAATTACCCTTGGATTAATCATCACTCATCGGGCTCAGATCTTAATGGAGTGACCTCTGTTTGTATAATAGTTATGAGACGTTTAAATCGGCTTGTGAATTGTAATGTAATTAATGATAATAACGTAAGTTAAGAGAATATGTGAAGTGAAATAAATCGTTTGCTCCGAGTGAACAGCTAGACCTCGTTGTTAACGAGACGAGGAAAGGGAAAAATCCTTGAGTCCGACGTCTAAAGCAGGACAAACCAGCGGATACCTCGTCCTGCTGGAATGAGAATCGTGTCGGTGTAGCAGGACATCGAAAAAAGAGATGGTGAATCAAGAAATGAGGAATATCAATCACCCACAGTTAAGTAACCCCCCTAGTTATAGCAACCTTAGACTGGCCAGTAGTGGTATGTTATAATAGATAGGTTACGAGTGATCCGCTACATCAAGTGACCACCAGAGAACATCTGGTAAGTAGTGGGATTATGTACAAATGTTTTCCTTGACGGATGTATTTCCCTGTGTGTCCTACCCCCCCCCTTCATTCAGTTAAACTAATATAATCTATACAGTCCACAATTAATTAGTAGCACCGTACTTGTGGGTGCTACCCAATCCATACTGGTCTCGGATAGATATGGATAAGATTGTGAGGTCGAGGGGACCACTTGGTGCGACCAGGGGTGGTTAAGTTTTCTCACATGTCTACACGGGGTGACTACGGTAAACAATATGATTGTCTCCCAATGAGATTACTGGTATGTATATAATGTTGAGGTACATACAGGTAAGCACCCTAGAAAATTTTCCATATTATCTCCCTGCTTGATTCAGCAGTAATATAACAGGTTATCTCCCTGCTTGACTCAGCAGTAATATAACAGGTTATCTCCCTGCTTGACTCAGCAGTAGTATAACAGGTTATCTCCGTGCTTGACTCAGCAGTAGTATAACATGTTATCTCCATGCTTGACTCAGCAGTAATATAACAGGTTATCTCCCTGCTTGACTCAGCAGTAATATAACAGGTTATCTCCCTGCTTGACTCAGCAGTAATATAACATGTTATCTCCGTGCTTGACTCGCAGTTTGTATAACATGTTATCTCCGTGCTTGACTCAGCAGTAATATAACATTTTATCTCCCTGCTTGACTCAGCAGTAATATAACAGGTTATCTCCGTGCTTGACTCAGCAGTAGTATAACTGTTATCTCGTGCTTGACTCAGCAGTTAGATAACAGGTTATCTCCTCTCCCTGCTTTGACTCAGCAGTAATATAACAGTTATCCTCCCTGCTCGACTCAGCAGTAGTCAAACAGGTTATCTCCCTGCTTGACTCAGCAGTAAGTATAACAGGTTATCCTCCCTGCTTGACTCAGCAAGTAGTATAACAGGTATCACTCCGTGGCTTGAACTCAGCAGTAGTAAAAATAACATGTTATCTCGTGCTTGACTGCAGCAGTAATATAACATGTTTATCTCCGTGCTTGACTCAGCAGTATATATAACAGGTTATCTCCCCTGCTTGACTCAGCAGTAGTAAACATATTATCTCCCTGCTTGACTCAGCATAATATAACAGGTTATCTCCCCTGTTGACTCAGCATAATATAACAGGTTATCTCCCTGCTTGATTCAGCAGTAATATTAGCATGTTATCTTCCGTCTTGACTCTCAGCATAATATAACATGTTATCTCCCTGCATGACTCAGCAGTAATATAACAGTTATCTCCGTGCTTGACTCACGCAGGGTAGTCACACAAGGGTTCAATAAGACGCAAGGTTTTAGTTACCCTTACAATCAACCATCAACATTCAAACTAACCACCATTGTCCTCTCCCCCATCAAGGATCACAATTCTCTTACAATGGTAATATTAACCTTCCAGTGCTCTTACTTATATATTCCTTGGTAAAAGTTAAAATATGATCCACTTGTTTATAGTCACCGAGAAGTCCTGTGTTTGTGTAAAAGATTTTATTTGTTTTACAATATTGATATTACAATTTTTTGTTAAGAATGAAGAAAGCCACTATCCATACCGGCATGAAATTTAATACTGAGGTAGGCCTACAGGCCTATGCTAGGCAGTTTAGCATTTGGTGCCTTTTATTGTAGGATGATCCTCACTTTAATGTCAATAATTCAGTTTTATTCCTAGTATATCTTTTTATGTAACTGATTTTCACAGTTGAGTTACTTAACTGTTTTAACTTAAAAAAGGTTTAAATAGTAAGATATACAAGGACCCCAATGGAAATAAGTCACTTTTTGGGGTTTATCCTAGATAATTTACACTATATGATAATTGTACTTATGAGTACCTGTGCCGAAATAAACTTACTTAAATTATTGCATTACTACATCTACCATGGAGTTTGTTCCACTCCATCTACACCTCTGTTGGCAAACCGTACATCACCAGGACACTAGAGGGGCTCCCGGTGGCTAAACGCGCTCGCTTCACACGGTGAGGGCATGGGTTTGATTCCCGGCCAGAAGTAGAAACAATGGGCGTGTTTTCTTTACAACCTGTGTCTATGTTACCCATCAGTAAAATGGGTACCTGGGTGTTAGTCGACTGTGTGGGTCGCTCCTGGGACACTGACCTAATTTTGCCCCGAAATACTGAGCATGAACAAGGGGTTTTCTATATAGTAGTATGTCATTGAGTCAGCTAGGCCTTAAACCATGTACATGTACTTGTAGTAAATAAGATATTATTATTATTATGTATAATTATTTATTAAATCCAAATTTCTTTCTTCTCCACTTGAATCCATTACTGCAGTCCTGTCCTTGATTAGATATTGTCAACATGCTGTTGATATCTCCTTTTTAATTGTTCCTGTTACCCATTTGTACACTTCGTCGTATCTCTCTTCCTAATTCTGTGGTCTTTCCTTTGCAAGGAGTACACGTACAGTGTCACAACCCGATTGCTTTCGAAACGTTTCTTGTGGCATGGAATCAACTTCGTCATTCATTTTTCTATATATTCAAGGATCTGACTTTTGGGGTTACCTAGTAATATACACCATGTATAATAATTGTAACTAGTATGTGTACCTGTACTAAATAAAACCTTAATTTCTTACAAGTGCACATATTGTCCATCCTCTAATATGGGAGACCAGAACGCAGGCAGCATAATCTAAGTGTGGTCTAACAAAAGATATATAAAATTGGAAAGTTAAACCTTATTTTTGGACTTTCTATTAACTGATTTATATTTCTTGATAGTGAAAGGCAAGAATTCTACTAGCTTTATTACCGGAGGGTGTTCGGGGGGTCGACACATCCTGTGGCCTGGTTCCATGACGCAGGCCTTGTGGTGAATCAGGGCTGAGCATCCAGGCTCGCTACTGCCACCATACATAATCCACTACCTACCTAGCTGGTCAGGAACTAACTTTAGGTATATGTCCCAGTTCCCATTTGAAGACAGCCATGGGTCTATTGGTGATTCTCCCTTATGTAATGGCAAGATGTATTGAACAGTCTTGGACTCTGACACTTATTGTGCTTTCTTGTACTCTGCACCACCTGCCAAGTCTTTTACTTTTATAGGGAATAATGTTCTATGCACTGTTGTCTTGCCTTTAAAATTTCTGCAAATTTGAGTTCCTAGCTTTTTTATTAATTCACTTTCACTAAGGTTCTCCACCGTATGTGCAACAATTTTTAAAATTCAAACTTGTTTGTTCCAGTGATGGCACTCAAGGGATAGTGAAGACACAGGCAGTTGGTTCTGGTGCTTCATGTTTGGTCCATCATCAACAGCCAAAACTCTCAGACTTCTAGTATGACAGCTGCAGCTTGAGCTGCAGGAGGAGGAGCAGGATCAGGAGAGGGATGCTGTGGAGCAAGTTGCTGCAGGCAGCTCTCACCACAAAGCAGCAGGGGCAGGAGAAGCACTGGGAGAGTTAGCACTGTACAGCGTATCCACAAATAGAAAAGCACAAGTGAGAGCTTGGCCCCGGACAAGAAGCGGAGAAGCTGGCCATCATAATCTTTCATGTAGGGTGAGTAGATATACCTGTAGTTCCTTACAAGTTTTTTCTTCTCTTGAAGAGTGAGAGATATGTGCAACATTTGGGAATCTTGTAACAAGTGTCTCATTCTTCACTTGTCAATGTCTTCATCTTGTCAATTTCTAAGCCATTTATATAACATTATCTGCTCTTATAGCCCAGCCTGATGCAGCCTTTTTTTTTATGATTGCCTATTCAGCCAGGTTGGTCGCTGTTGGATGCCATCTAGCTCCATGTAGGTTCACAGCCTAATTGAGGTAATGACTATTTTCCACTTGAAAACTTCTGCTCTTGTTCAAGCAATATTTATAGGAGACCCAATTTTTTGACCAAACTACAGTACTGAATTGTGGCCAACATAAAATCTTAACTTGCCACTGTTTGCCAAGCAACAAGTGACCTAGCTGCAGTTTCTAAAATTTAAATTAGTATTAAGCTTTATAATTAAAGGCAGTCTTCTTCCCTGGAATAAATCTGTCGATAGAGTAGATAGGAGCTTATTAGTTGAATCATCAACCCCATTAGAGAGGATCTCTGGGAAAGACCAGATACGAGAGATCTAGATGATTTTAGAGGACACAAGAAACTCCGAACTCACAAGTTTAATACTTGAATTCAGTCCACCAACCAGGTAATGTTGGTTGTACAATATATGAGAAAAAACTATTTCTAATTAGCCAAATGTTGAAATACTGTAATATTAAATATTTCCATCTATTAATGTCTTAGCAATACATTAAGTATGTTTCATATAATCTATCATGCTGATGAAACTGCAGTGGTTCATGGGTGGAAGAATCCAATCACCACACACACCCTGCACGCCAGACACACCCCAGCCTGCTGCACCTCCGTCTCAGCCGGTGTCGCAGCTGCACAACATACCTTAGGTAGTCAATGCACATTGGTTTAAATTGTATTTTAATGTTTACCCTATAGTAATATTTTTCTCAAAAAAAGATTTTGGTGGTTGCCACCTGTTACCTAAGCATATTGCAGTTTTTGCAGGTTTGTTAACTTGTATGGTTTAATATTTTGCATATGGTATTTTGGTTTATTAAAAAAATAATACAGTATTTAAATGGAGTCCAGGAGGTGGGAAGGGCACTGCCTGCACTCACTGAAGGATTGACTGAGTTTTTGCAGTCAGGAGGTTATCTGGATTGTGATAGCAGTCAGAGGTAATCTGGATGCCCATTGAGTTTTAAAAATAAAATTAAAAAAAGTGAAAAGTGAAAGAAAAAATAATGGCCACATGAATAAACATTACAGATTGTTATAGCAAAATATTATAACTGTCCAAAGACCTTATTGACGATAAGATTTTTTACCTTGGGTTTTTTCCCACCATGTTAGGTGAGCAAAGCTAGATATACAATTTCACCTCATCACAGAGGTTCACAAGTATCACAGTTCAAATGGCTTCCTAAACAACAACCTCACACACCTCATTCTTCCGGAGTTCCAGGGCAGTCCAGTGAGCTCAGAGTTCAGTCTGGTGAGCTGGTTTACTCTGGGACTCGTTTAAAAAATACTACCTTGGGAAGCAACTTTGAAATCTAATACTGCAGCACAAGAGTTTAATAACTATCTCTGGTCCTTGATGCCTTGATCCTTCTCTGTCTGACATTTAATTGTGCTATTTCTGTTACATTTAATTTTTTTTTTTGGAATGGCAGTATTCCATGCTCTTGGCTAGGTGATTTCTCATGCCACAAAAGGGGGATAACCTTGTAAATATAATATTAATAATATTTTATTTCAGTGATACAAATGTTTGTACAGAGATGGTGACATTTAGTTGTGCATACTAAAAGCCCATAGTTATGTAGAGCCAAGATGATATGATGATGATGATGATAATAGAATGGAGAAGCAATTATAAAAGATTTTGAAGGAAAAAATTGCCTTATTCTTAGGATCTGGATACTGGCAATATATATGGATACTTCTGAACAGGGGTGAGGGTGTTGCACTTCGGAAAATGACCTAAACTGTGATTTCGGTACTCTCTGCCAAGACGGGATGAATGATTTGATGATTAATGTGGTTCCTCGTTTTTTTGGGGGGATGTCACCTTTCTCATGGGAATAGTTTAGTGTGTTAAAAAATAAGAAATTGTAATGGAGGGTAGTTTTAAACAGTTTATCATCTTTGCAACCCAGTGACCATGTAAGTCACCTTTGATCTGCCTGGAGATGATGAATTTTGGATCGCTTACTCTCCATCGTTGTTTGACGTGGAGAATCCTTCATTGTGTTCACCGAAGGAGGATCCAATACCAAGCAGGTGAAAAAGGTCCATTTTATAAATGGAATATAATTTTTTAACAAATGAATGAAACCTGTGTATGTTTTTTACTGGACCAGATTTTGCATATAAGTGAAGTGGTTTTACTGTGCTTCTTGATGTTGATATATAAATAATGGTGGGCACCCAGAGTCAGCATAATAATGAACACTAAAATCACAATTGTAAGTTTTTTTGTTTGAGTGATTTAGAGGAAATAATTGATAATCCCTGCAAAAAGAAGGGAATGTGCCATAAGTACGGTTAGGATATACAGTATCAATTTCCCTTTATCTCTTATGGATTTGGTGGGGCAAGAAATTAATTACATTTTCTAATGACTGAACAAGTGTATCATACAGGGGGGCCACAACTAAAAGTCTCAGATTACTATAATTAGTCGCATTATGCAGTAATTGTGAACAAGCGATACAAAATGCCAAAACAACCATGGGGGGAGTTGATGATAGCTCTAGGTCCTTTTGTGTTTGCCATTTACACATCATCAGAGCTTGCATGTTGCAGAAAAAAAGAGAAATTCAAGCAA